ATATATATATATATATATATATATGTGGAATGGGAAAGAGAGTCAGGTTGCAAGTTGCAAACAACTAAGCATACATCATTTTCTGGATAAGAGGATGGAATTTACAGTAGACGAGCTTAATTAATAGGAGTATTTAAGTAAAAGGTGTCTTATAACTTGATGAGGTCAGTCACCATTTCCCAACAACCTCAATGAGTTGGGGGGCATTTGAAAGATTAGTAGCAAACGCGTCATGTTTATATTCTTCATGTAGTTATCGTAATTGCTCTTTTCAAGCACAAGTATAGTCGTTTAGATGCCGAACTAAAATATTTGCGAAAGGATGTTCAAGATTTAATATGATGTGTAGAAAGTAATTTTCAACTTATATACATAATATATAATAACAAAAAACTCAATATTTTTTTATAAGTGGGATTTGGGAGAGGGTAATGTGCATGTAGGCTTTATTCCTATCCTGGAAGGGTAAAGAAGTTATTTCCAGCATATCCTTGGATGAAGAAATAAGAAACAAAACAGTAGCAACAAGCAGTAACAACAACAAGGTATTATGAAAACTAAAGCCAAAGGTAACAATCAAACAATAAGTAGTATAACAATCTAAGAATCAAAGTATATCATACTAACACTAACTATACTAGCAATGGAACGAAAAAAGAAAATCGCTCGACTACCTACTAATCTTATAATCCTTGACCTTCATACCCTCCTATCAAGGGGCATGTACTCGGTAAGCTGAAGATGTGTCATGTCCTACCTAATCACCTCTTCCCAATACTTCTTAGGCCTCTCTTCCTACCACCAAGGTCAACCTTTCACACCTCCTAACTAGGGCATCTGTACTTCTCCTCTTCACATGCTCGAACCATCTCAATCTCGCATCCCGCATCTTATCCTCCACGTGGACCACTCGCACTTTTTTGGAATATAGTCATTCCTAATCTTATCTAACCCGGTATGCCCCCACATCCATCTCAACATTTTCAATTCAGCTACTTTCATCTTCTGGACACGAGAGATCTTGACAAGCCAACACTCTGCCACATATAACATAGTTGGTCTAACCACCACCTAATAGAATTTATCTTTAAGTTTTAGTGGCACATTCTTATGGCATAAGACACCGAATGCGAGCTTTCATTTCATCCACCATGCTCTGATACCATGTGAGACATCCTCATCAACCTCCCCTTTTTTTGTATGACTGATCCAAGGTACTTGAAGCTCTCTCTATTGGCGATGACTTATGTATCAAGCTTCACATCCATGTCTAATGTCTGGGGTATGTTGCTGAACTTGCACTTCAAATATTTTGTCTTGGTCCTGCTCAACTTGAAGCGTTTAGATTATAGGGTCGGCTACACTTCTAGCCTCTCGTTAACATTGCATCACGTCATGTCAATCATATGTCATCTGCAAAATAACTACACCATAGCACCTCTCATTGAATGTATCATGTAGTGCATCCATCACCAAGAAAAATAAAAATGGACTAAGAGTTAATCCTTGGTGCTATTCCATCACAATCGGAAATGTTCTGATTGCCCATCGATTGTTCTTACCTAGGTCTTAGCTCAATCATACATGTCGTTAATCACCCTAATGTAAGCTACCAGCACACCTTTAGCCTCCAAACCTCCTATAGAACCTCTCTTGGGACTTTGTAGCACGCTTTCTCCGAGTCAATGAACATCATATGTAAGTCCTTCTTCATCTCCCTATACTGTTTTGCCAATCTCCGTACAAAGTGAATAGATTCCGTAATCAAACGATCCGGTAATGAATCCGAACTGGTTCTCGAAAATAAACATACTCTTCCCCACCCTCACTTCCACCACCATCTCCCAAATTTTCATAGTATGGTTAAGCAGCTTCATACCCTATAATTGTTGCATTTCTAGATATCACTCTTGTTCTTGTACAATGAACTCATCTTACTCTACCTCCATTACCGCTTCGTCCTAAAAAAAATATTAAACAACCCAATGAGCCACTCCAAGTATTTCGTACCCGTGTTCCTCCATAACTCCATAGGGATCTCATATGGCCTGGTCACTCTACTCCTACTCATCTGGCGCATAGCCCTCACAGCCTCCTCAACTCTTATGTACCTACGATACCCAATACTTCAATGACTCTCGGAGTACTCCAAATCACCCAGCACAATATCCATATTCCCTTCTTCATTCAAAAGTCTATGAAAGTATGTCTGGCATATTTGCCTAATATGTGCCTCTTTCATCAAAACTTTGTTATTATCATCCTTGATGCCCTTCAACTTATCCAGATCACTGGTCTACCTTTCTTTACCTTGGCTAGCTTGTATAGCTCCTTGTTCCCGTCTTTGACCTCAAGTCTTCATACAATTGTCCAAACATCGCAGTCTTAGCCGCAGAAAATCGTTAACTTTGCCTCCTTAGCCTCCCTATACCACTCCATGTTCTTCCTCTTCTTCTCCTCGTCTATGCTCTGTACTAGCTTCAAATACGCCGCTTTCTTGGCTTCCAGTTTTCCTTAGACCTTCTCACTCCATCACCAGTTCCCTTCATGGCCGCCAGAGTAACCCTTCATCACCCGTTACACCTCTGTCACAACTAATCTGATACAGTTCGATGCCATAGCTTACATACCACTCATGTACCCACTGCTCCTCTAGGCCCCATATTGATTATCACTTCATACAATGATAAACAGCTATAGTTCTTACTTGTAAACTTTGCACGTCTTTTAAAAGTAAAATTAACGTCTAAACAACTATCAAAAATCATTTTCGAACTTCAACTCCAAATACACTTGAACGATCTAATGATCTTCTAACTCTTTTTAATGAGAAAATGTGAAGGTCTTTAAACAGAATACATAGACTCAACCTGCTTAAGGTTTTCTTTTTTAATATTAGTTAACTAAACCTAGCCAGCTTAAAACAGCAAACCGTGTTAATTGTTATTCAACCTGTCATTGTCCCGTGTCCTGTCCTGCTTTTCAAAAATATTTTTAACCCACACTGCATAAGAGTGCCCGTTGGCTGTTTCAGGTTTGACCTGCCCCGTCCAGCTCCTCTGCTATCCTGAGACATGAAAAGGATGTTTTTTTTTTCTTGCTGTTAAGTCAAGATTTTATTTCATCAAAAGCCCACGAATGTAGAAAGGCTTAGAGTTAAAGAGTACCAGGCATGGTTCTCCATGTATTGATTGTATTCCCAATCCTTGAAGACCCAACCACCTACCTCAGATCTTTTCACTACATACCTCAGCACACTCAAGAAAACAAACAAGAAATAAAAAACAAGGCATGTCACAAGATAGATCATACATTCCTCCTTCAGTCTTTAGAACCTCCAAAGACGACAGCAAAAAGGAGCAAAACCAAACTCCCGCCCATCTTTCAACTTGGGGAACACACGGCAAAAATTATGCAAGTGCCTGACTGCCCTAGGACAGATCAATTTTGACAAGTTGTAACAAAAGTGCCTTAGTTTCCCTTCCTACATGATATTGGGAAGAATAAGCAGCTTATTCCCCATCTTCAACAAACAATGAAACATTTATCTGGTCACGGCAATAGTAATCTTGTCCACCTCATAGTTGAAATCCGTTCCCAACATAGAGGCGAAAGAGCAATATAAAACAGATTTCAACTTATTCAACTCATCCCAATTTTACTTACAATCCCGCAAACAAGCTACAGTATTATTGTTCTTGACAAAAATGAGCTGTGTTCCTTCAATAATATAACCTGATTCTCCACCCACATCCAAGAACACTGACAGGAGAATCATCTGCGGAACCAGTCAAGCATGACGCTCCGTCTAAACCACCATGTTGAGCATCGACCTCAGCTTTCGACTGGAAAAATCATAAACCAAAAGCAGAAATCAATGTATATGGAAACACATAATTAAACAGGAACAAACTCATCAAAATGTCAAAAAGTAATAACTCTGGGCCACATGTATCAGTAGAAGCAAGAAAAGAGTGAACAAATCTTTTTTTATAACCGAGAAATCCCCAAGGATACGTGGAGCACGGTTTGAAACTTGGTGGATAATGGGGGCCCCTATACCCTTCTCTACTTAAATACCAGGCTTTTCGTCCGCAGCAAGACTCGAACCCATGACTTGGAGAAAAAGAAACTAATCTTTGAAACATAGAATCAAATATTTAGACAGACATGGTTCCAGGAACTATATTCTAAGCCGAGCGCAAACCATTAAAATCTTTCTCAAGTTGATATTGGCTACTTAAACACAGCATTGGAAGGAAATTTCAAGATAGAACTATTCATCAAGATTGACAAGTGCATTGCATATACTGCAGCAATGGAGAGTTTTTGTCACCTAACCGTTTTAATCCTAGCAACCTCACAATTACTTTGGTCACAAGAAACTAAAGAAGAGTTTGTAAACTTTGGTTGGGAATTGCTAACCTGTTGGTTTCCGGATACCCTATTTAAGGGGGTTTATTCCTTCACCAATCTGAAAGCCAGCTTCATGCAGACAGTCATGAATCAGCCTCGCCTTACCAGGAGTGAGTCCGTTGTTTCCTCACGTCTTCTCAGCCATTTGAGCATCTCGAGATCAAATCAGTTAGTCACATATGATCATTCTGATACGTTGATTCTTTGATAACTACTCAGCTCAATAAAACCTCTGATCCACAATTACATCCCAAATGTTCTATTATACAAATTGCCAGAATTGGGCATACGGAACTTTGGGTCCTCATATCCAGTAAAGAACTTGTTAAGGCCCACATTTTCGGTTCGGAGGAGTTCCGCTACACCCAAATTATTTCCACTCTGAACCCCATTCCAGCCATCCCAGTGGCCATTTGACATGACAGAGTTCATGGTCTGGGGATGACTCGGCTGTGAAAAAGGAGGTTGATTGTTGGACAGAGCTTGCTCCAGAACCCTGGAAGAAATTCCATCAAATGATGATTGATTGCTGGGCATAGTTTTCTCCATAACCCTGGGAGAAATTCCATCAAATGGGAATTGATTGCTGGCCAGAGTTTGCTCCACAACCCTGGAAGAAATTCCATATGCATCACTGTATGGAGAAAAATTGTCCCCCATATCAGCAAACCTCTGGTTCTGTTGCAGAGTTAGAGATCTTTGCATCAGTAATTGAAGCCTTCTCTCATTTTCTAAAGTGCTTAACTGTGGAGAAAAACCTGAAGACATGTCCAAGCTTGAGAGATCAAAGCCATTAGGAATCCTCCCTTTACCAACTGCCAGAATTGCAGGATCCATAAACTCAATGTCCCCATTACTCACATTTCCAACTGGCGGAGCCTGATATTGATTGTGCAACGAGGATGTATCAAGCAAGTGACTCCCTGCAAAATGTAATGATTTGACATAAACCATCAAAATATACATATATTATGTCAACAAAGTAGAAAAAACAAAAGGCCTTTATAATAACAGACCATGGAGAGAGTCAAACTTCTGTTCCATTCTCTCATAATGAGAAGTAAATCCCGGGGGTGGTGCTCTGTTTGGTGCTGAAAACCCTGGAGGCGCTGACATCTGAGGTCTGGACACTGTTAAGAAATTCACCAGAAAAAAATTAAACCAGAGGCACTCAGACTTCTCTTTTTCTTTTTTCTTCCTTTTTCTTTAACAACTACACTTTGACTGAAAGTTGAAACACTATAAGACGCAGTTACGGGAGAAGGAACCGAGCCAGGAACTGACCTGATAGCTTGTTAGAAGAGAGATGAGAAAAGCTGTTGCCATAACCAACTGATTCCTCATTATTCGCTACAGAGAAACCATTACGAGTACCAATATTTTCAAGTTGATAACTTCTGCTATTAGAAAAATCATGACCATGAGCAAAATGACTAAAATTTTGCTCAATGTAACTTAGAGGCGGTTGAAAATCAGCTGATGGACTGGCAGGTTCTTCTTCTCTTGCAAAAGAGAACCTCGATTGGTTACTGGTTAATTTTCTTGAGCTTGACACTCTAAGAGACCCTTGTTGGTTATCAGTCTCTCCCAACAACTTAGCAAGGTTCTGAGGAGAAGTTAATGACGCATTCCAAGGATCAAAATCCAGAGACAAAATATTAGATATTATACTGCTCTCTCCATTATCAACCTTAGTACTATAGATCTCGCTAGGAGCTTCACCTTCAAACTTTTCCACATGCATCCTCTTACCCTCGTTAGGCAACGGATAATAACTTCCATTGATAGTTCGCAAATCAGCCACACAATTTGATAGATTGCCCAGGTATCCATTAGTCGATGATTCAATAGTAGACGCCTGAGATACTGAATCAGTTCTCCTGTCTAACTGCATACTGGCCTTCTTGACAGGTCCACCACCATTAGTCAGCTGAGGAGAATAACCACTAGGCTGCGCTGGAGAGCATAAAGAGGGGGAAAGATTTGGCGAATAGACTTTCTCGATAATTACTTCTGGATCCCTATGTCTCTGCTCATTAAAGGATAGCAAATCATCCTCCATTTCAGGAGTAGCAACTTGTATAACTTTAGTATGCGCATCAAATCTCAAATCAGACTTTTCTTTTGAGATACAAATCTCATCTGCAGAAACCACAGATTCCCCAGTCATTTCAGATGGCAAGGGCTCCCTACCTTGCTCAATGTAGCTGCGCTGTGATTTTTTATGTCTATCAATGCTCAACGACGACATATCAGAGCATATATACTGGATCTTAATATCTGTGGTATCATTGGAATCTTTTGCAAAGCCAGCTCCATTAGACATTACAGAAATATCAAAGGCATTTGTGGTACTGTTTGGCATTATATGTTTATGTTTGTCCTTTAATGACGGAACGTTATGTAACTGAGTGTTTATAGATGACGAAGCAGGAGGTACCAGAAGAGAGGGGTTCTCAGAAGTATAGGTTCGAGGATCTGCTCCTGCGTACTGCTTGACAGGTTCTAAAGTCTCTATGTTCCCTTTCTCTTCAGTAGTTCCATTTTCTAAAGTATGAACTGCTTTTTTTCCTGCATGAGCAGGCAGTAAAGAAACCTGACTTGTGCTTCCAACAGCTGTAGAAAACGCTGCTGGATTACATGTCTCCGGCTTCTTATTAAGAGGTCCATTATAACATGGTACACTGGCAGGTGGCTGCTGATTATTTGATGCACGTGTTCCCCTAGTAAACAAGATAAATATCAACAAATAGCACCACATAGGCACATACAAAGGATAATAAAAGTAGATCTGCTTAGTGCATACCATAAAGCTCCAGCAGGAAGAGCAGCGGATCTACCAGAGCTACTATTTGGTGGTGAGCCTCTAACATTGGGTACTGAATTCTGCATGGTAGATGACACTACAAAATTTCACACTTGTGACTGAAACATTGGCATAATGCTGAAAAATTTTCTAGCAGTGGTAAATTTGTTCAAACTTCAAATATAAGCATATATGAAAGCAAATCACAATCATCCAATATAACCACAAAAAGATAGAAATGTCTGGATTTTAACTTTTAAGAGCACAATGTCCAGCCTTCTCAGCCAATTGACTCCTCCCCCTTCAACCCCACAGTAGAAAACTATCTTTTTCCCTTCCTAAAACCGAGGAAGGGAAGAAGAAGCATAAGAAGAGAATAAGAAGGTAAGCAAATGGAACAAGAAAATCTTACAGTAGCAGCATTTTTACTAATAGGTTTCCCTGAAGCAGCAGAGCTGTGACTGCAGTACTCCTCTGCTGGGGATGGTAACACACTCCCTGATCGCTGTTGCGTACTATTAATGGCCCCAGCAATTTGTTGAACTCTACTCCTTCAAAATAACTATGCACGTTAATTAGCTATCCAGTAAACATTTGCATGAATAGGACAGAGACGCAGGAAAATAAGTTCAGTCTTCCGATAATGGCATAGCTATAAGTAATATATTAAAGACCAACTGAAATACAAATGTTTCGAATAGTTTATTGTGCAGACTTAAGCTGGACGTCTCCTCCGAAAAGCCAGGAAATGAACCCACTAATTGATGTTCTATTAACATATGTTATACTACTTGGCAGCTATTCCATCAGTCATAAACTGCAGTTAGAAGAGCCACAAGCATAATCAGCTGAATAATCCCAATACCTTGTGTAAGCAGATATGACTTCGTCTTTAGTAAAGCTATCCTCTTGTGACCCAATCTCGTGCAAGTATAAACAATCAGGATTGGTACAGGGCTGAACCAAGAGACAACTAATCTTCGATTACATTATGATATTCAACGATAGAAGGATCAAATGCAAATTCCTAGTCAGTGATTTATTCCAAATTATAATTCAAACTCATACCACATTTCTCAACCAAGCGTGACAGTATTTTGTGGTTCCAAAGCAAGCTCTGCAAACAAGGAATTTAAATTGTTTAATGCAAAATCAGAATTAATGGTAGCTGCATACATGAACCAATCATCACACTTACCTTAGAGGCCTACCATCTAAAACAAACCCATGTACAGACTGAATACACAGAATTGCTTCCTCCTCCTTTGAATAGGTTATATATCTGTACAGAACATTTCAAGACTTGTTAACTTAATTTTATTTTTATTTTTTTTTATTTTTTTTTGGGGGGGGGGGGTGGGTGGAGAGGACTTGTTAACTGATTTTCTTGTGATTGAAAGGCTACATATGAATTGAGGATCTCAACCAGCAAACATAAAATATGATGAGAGCACAACAAAGGGATCAGGGGGCTTCATGATTGTAGAAAGAGCAGGGGATGAATGATGTGTCACTGGATCAAAAATTCAACAGTGGCAACTAGTGAGATTTTGGTTGGATGTTCCGTGGACACACTACTCTTAAATACATGTTCCTGCAGCTTCCAGTATTTTCAACAATAAGAATTTTCGGAGGCAGAAGAGTTATAAAGAATCAACACATGCAATGCGTCGTGTCAAATTTGTCTTAGCACAAATTGGAGCTAACCAAGGCAGCAAAATTATTTTTTATAGAAGTTTAACGCTTCCGGGGGTTTTATCGGAAACAGTCTCTCTGCCCTTCCGGGTAGGGGTAAGGCTGCGTACATCCTACCCTCCCCAGACCCCACTTGTGGGACCATACTGGGATGTTGTTGTTGTTGTAGAAGTTAACGCTTATCGATGGGATGGAGCATACAAGGTGTTTGCCAAAGTAGAGAAACTTTATTAGAAAAAGTGATTCTCTACCAGGAGCATATAGAAAACATTGAAGACTGAGAAACAAGGAAGAGGCTCAAACAACAGGTTGTCATCCAACCAAATGACTGTTCACATTGATCATTTTTCCTCCAAAGCACCAGGGAAAGGAAAAAATAAAACACAGGGTATAGAGGTTTGGTAAATCATTGGAGGCCTTGACCTTGTACCATTTTTTCACATCTTATTTTTGCAGCAATATGAAGGAACTTGCACTGAAATATGTCAAAAGATATAAAGACCTAGATAATATTTGATAACTCGGACAACTGTGTGAGACATAAGAAATTTTGAGACCTATTACAATTGTCAATTTTCAAGCAGCCAGGTAACTCATATCAGGAACGAAACTTACACACTACAAGTATTATTTGCAAATTGTTGAATAGCACCAGCAGCTGTACGAGACATAGACACCTTCAGAACCTTCCCATACTTCAAAAAATACTCTTTCTGCTGTAGAAGCTGCTTTTGAGCAACACAAAAAAAAAGTGAGGAAGAACAGGGAGATTTAATAGGAGATAAAAGTGCATTTTTTTCTTTTTTATTCTTGAGAGGTGCTGATGATTTCACAACAAACGGTACATACATCTTCATCAGCTAGGCTGAGTGGCAACCCCATAACATAAACAAGATTTCTTTGAACGACTCGCACATTGCTGAGTTGCTTCCTAGAATCTGCTGTTTTACTTTTTCCCTTGCGAGACGACAATCTTTTTTCAGTGCTCATCTCAGCCACTACCCTGTGGTCAACACCAAAGATTATCAATAATGCAGAAAATGTAGATTTGTATGCTCTATGATAGAGATTGTCTTAAGATGCAAAATGGTTCATGTCATTACTTATCACATTTAGCTGCCATGCCAACAATCTTTTCCTTGTTATAAGGAATGCGACATGCTGGACACCGCCCATCTGTATTATCCTTCTCAGCCATATCCATAATGTGATGCCAGCACCAGACACATATCTGTCAGAAATATGTATCAAATGTTAAAACCTACATCTACTAATAAATTTGCCATTGGAGTAAAGGTCACATGTGAAAGAAAATACAGCTCTGCCTCAATCCCAAGTAAGTTGGGGTCGGCCATATGAATCCTCACTAACTATGTCGCCTATTAATCTCATTTCAAATTAACATAATACAACAAATCTCTATCCTCACAAAGTAGGGATAAAGTCTGCGTACACACTACCCTCCTCAGACCCCATAGTGTGGGATAATATTGGGTATGTTGTTGTTGTTATACAACAAATCTCAAACCAATATAGTAACAGAAGAAAAATAAATAAAAAGAACAAGAAGTTTTCTATATTTCATACTGGCATATAAATCTTTGACATGACTAAAAGACTCATAGAAAACATAGAGCATAAATTAGACGTACTAGCATGACAAACATATTCCCAATTAACTAGTGTTGCCTATAAAGATCTTTTACTTCCATTGTGCACTATTTTTTGCTAGGTCTCCATGGATACGTGAGATTGTAGGTCTTTCGAGACAACTTCCTTCCATGTGATTTTAGGTCTACCCCGTCCCTTTTTTAACACTGCCACTCACCATGGTTTCACTTTCGGTCCAGTGCACCTGGAGGTCGGCGCAGTATCCACATCTCTGCAATACTCATCTTGTGAGTAAGTTAGATTTTAGTGTCTCACCATTCACTCCCATATACTCCCTCCGTTTCAAAAAAATAATGGAACTTTTACTATTTGGGGAATCAAACAAGGTTTTGTTTGACCATATTTTTTGCAAATATTTTGAATTGTTAACTAATGTGAATATTTTGAATTGTTAACTAATGTGACTTGTAGTACTTTTTACGTAGATTTTAAGTATGTAAATTTATTTCAAAAAATTAAATAGTCTATGTCCGAATTCAGAACTAAAATTATTCAATTTGACTCTTGTAACCCGAATCGAGGGTCTATCGGAAGCAGCCCGTAGCGTACTTTTTCCCTCCCCAAACCCCACTTGTGGGAATCCGAGCCAAGGGTTATCGGACTAGTCAAGATGAAAGAAACAAAAATGAGGATGCTTAGGTGGATTAGCGGGGCATACTAGCAGAGATACGATTAGGAATGAAGAATATAGTACAAGGTGGGAGCGGCCTTCGTAGTGGACAAGATGCAGGAAGCGAGACTGAGATGGCTCAGAGATGTGAAGAGGGGGAGCACAAATGCTCCAATGACGAGGTGCGAGAGATTGACAGTGCTAGATCTAAGGAGAGGTAGAGGTAGACCGAGAAAAAATTGGGGAGAGATGATTACAAAGGACATGGAACATCTTCAGCTCACCGAGGACATGACCCTAGTGGAGCATGAAGGTCGAGGATTAGGGTAGAAGGATAGTAGATAATCGAACGATTTCTCTCTTTTCAGTGGGAGAGCATAATTCTAGTTTAGGACACCTTATATGTTGTCTCTTCTTACTATTAGTATTATTATAATGGAACGATTTCTCTCTTTTCAATGGGGGAGCATAATTTTAGTTTAGGGCACCTTATCTGCTCTCTCTTATTAGAACAAAGGTTATTATTATATTCTTCTATTTTATTACTACTGTTTTTTTAGTTTGGTTATCTTTACTATTTTTGCTGTGAACACTTTTTTTCTTCTGTATTTTCATCTTAGCTTTTTCACTCTTATATTTTCGAACCTGGTTTTTAAAACGCTTTTCTTGAGTCGAGGGTCGGTTGGAAACAACCCTTGTACCACACAAAAGGTAGAGGTAAGGTCTGTGTACACCCTATACTCCCCAAAACCCATTTGTTGGATCACACTGGGTTTGTTGTATGTTGTTGTATCCATAATAATAATAGCATTTCAAATAAATTGGAAAATCGTTTGGAAAATGAGTAGTAGCTAATGATAAGGATAAAATAGGAAAAAAAACTATCTTTCTCTTGCTTTGCTAAAATGGACAAGTAAAAGTAAAAATGAATTTTTAGTGTAGTGAACAAGTAAATGTGAACGAAGGGCATATTAGATTTTAAATATGTCAACTGGAAAATATGAATCGGGAAACTCGAAAACTAAAAAGGGAAGAAAGAGAAGAACTAAAACTTTAATACAATCTCAAAGAGGTGGTCTTGATAAATCTTATACTCCCTCCCTTTCAATTTAGATGTTGTAGTCTGACTTGACACAAAGTTTAAGAAAAATATGAAGACTATTGAAATACGTGGTCCTATAAGCTTAAGGGGCAAAAGCTTTATGGAGCCATGCCATTTTTGTGACTATAAAAACTTCTCATGTGTCATTCTTTTCTGAATGGACTAATAAGAAAAGTGTGTCATTTAAATTGAAACAGATCAAAATCTAAATCAAAAAAATATAGAAGAGTGTTCTTTAAATGAACAAATCCATATCCAGATGATAATGAAATCAAAGAAGAGATTTTACTTGGGAATAAATTCAGTTTGCAAGTTGGCATTTGTCTATGAAATTGACAATAAAAAATTTGAACTTGAAGAACCTATGATTTAAAGGCGTATTTGAAATAAATTTTTAAAATCTTCAACTCTCTCAAATCTTCAAACTTTGACAACCTTTATCCTTCAAACAACTACAACTATCCAAACACAATTTGATCAATTTCAAAGCATGTTTCTTTATCAAAATCTTTTTCCCTGTCCAAACAGGCCCTTAAGCAATTCATGAATTCAGCCACCCAAATTCTCCACCCAGATATTCGGAGACAACAAATTTGGAGTTGCAAATAAAGCAAATTAATGGACATGTATAAGGGTACATCATGACAGGCAGCTTAGGTATACATATTCCATTACTGGCACAGTTTACAATAATGCAACCACAGTATACATAGTTAAGGTTTGAGGTTCAAGAATTTTAAGTTTAAGAGCAAGTTCAACAGAAACAACATGGTTTTGAACTGCTCATGCAGACCTTCAAGATATCAAAAACCTAACCCCTCAGATGCTTTAACCCCAAACTATATTTAGCTGAGCAATTATCGTCTTATTGATGACCTACTTTTGAAGAATACATTCAAAAAGGATAGATTCTAGCGTAAGAACTTTCTAAACAAATAGAAGGGGAAACAGCATCTACAAACCTCATATCCGCACTTGCAAGGCTTCAACTGCTGATCTGTCAAGTCCATCTCCTCAGCACAGAGAGGACATGTCTTATCTCCCTGGTCGCTCATTGTTGCCTTAAAACTTGAATAGAATACAAATGCCATAATTAACTCCAATCAGAAATATATTTCAACCACACAATCAATTCACCCGAAAATATACTTCTGTTAACAAGATGCTTATAACTAATTCCCAAGCCACAAAATCATTCATTCACCAAACAGTGTCTATAGTGACTTGCAACTTCCGACTGACGATTTCAACTCCACATTATGAGAAACTCAAGTAAAAAGCCTCCTACATTAATTACAGATTAACAGAATTCACACCAAAAAAAAAATTTTAAAAAAAAAAAAACTACAATCATCAACCGGAAAAAAAATAACAAAAAACTACAATAAAAAAAAAATAACAAACAACTACAATCATCATCAACCGAAAAAAATAACAAATAACTACATAGAGATCTCATATGTGTTCGTCCTAAATTGTTTGCCACTATCACTATTTGGAGTGTCAAGCATTTTTTCTTACAATGCCCATTTTCAAACGTTTCTAGGTTTTCTCAGTAAAAAAAATATGCTTAATTTAAAAAAATATGCACATTTACTTTCAAAATAAAAATTAAGAAATCCATGTCAAATTCACACCGAAATCCAAAGTCAAAACTCATCAACTCAAAAGCTCAATCCATTTGTTCCATTAATCAAACACATCGATCCAATACAACAATATACACTCTGATAACACAGCGAGCTAGTAAAAAAGAATAAGATTTCTCTAAAATCTCCCAAAAATATCAAATAAAATAAAACAAAAAGAACTTTATCTATCAGACTCAAATCAAAACCTCCAATCAAAATATAATAAATAAAATCATCCAATCAGTTCAAAACTCAATACATACCAAGCAAACAGTGCTAAATCTTAACAAAAATCAGGAGAAAAAAAAAAGAGGCGATTAATAAAATTAAAGACCTAAGAAGTTAGGGTTTAAGGATTGGACTCACAAGTGATGAGTGGATCGAAGAAGAGGAAATCGTAGAGAGGATGAGACTCGAAGAAGGTAGAGAGAGAAAGACAGAGAGAACCAACCACACAGAGACAGAGACTTGTGAAGAGAGAGAAAGTGCGAGAGGTCGGCTTTTGTGTGATTGGATGTTTTCTTATGCTGCTGATTGCGGGTTCCGGTTCGGTTCGGTTCGCGTACCGAATTAAATTACGGGTTTCGGGTCGGATACCGAATGAATACCAGTTCGGATTGTGATATCCGAATTCGTCATGCTCCTCCCTCACACGTCGTTGCTTGCATTTGTTCGTGGAAATTTTTTGAAAGCGAAGAAGAGTTCTCCTAAAGGCGTTTTTTCTCAAACTTTTTCGTTAAATTTTGTAAAAATAATTGTCAAAAATGATTTTTTTAATCTGCTAATTCAATTGCATTTTTCAGAATAAATTTCTCACAACTCTTCAAGCTAGGACGAGTAAGATTTTACATGTTTACTGATCACGCCCAACTCTAAACCTAAAAAGGATAAGCAGTTGTTGCAAATATAGTCCGGTCTAAAAGTCCGGTGTCGAATCCCACAGAGAACTAAGGTATCGCTACAACTATTCAGTTATACTGAGAATACAAACTCGAACAATTCCTAAGTTATAAATATTAAGATTCTTATATCTAACTAATTGACTAACAAACTAAAGCAGTAAATTAACAACTAAAAATACTAAGGGTTAGAGACTAAATTAAGGAGGTCTACAGTTATGATTTTCCCAATTGTCGGAATCGTTCCGCTATGTTCCCTACAATTTTGCCTATATATCCTCTACTGAGCGTAAGCACTTTAGGTGTCGTAATTCTCTCTCGAGCAACTACAACAATTTACTAGACATATTCTCTTGAACTACGCTAGTTGGCTTATCTAACCACTCACTATGACCACGTCAAAGCTTTGTTATTTCTAAACCTACCTTTAAACCCGCTGTATTGATTTCTCACATACGTTAGGAGTGACGTTGTTTAACTACTACCTAAAATGTATCCTTTCTCAAGAAACACATAATAAATAGGCACAGTCAATCAATGGACATTCAATCAACTGAAATAAGCACGTAGTTTAACAAATAGATAAATTCAAAGGTTAAAGTATATTAAAACATTACAAGAATTCATCCTCCAAGAGGTTCCATCAAAACCCTAGATAATTAATTAGTTACTCGTAATAGTATGTAAAACTACAATACTAAAGCCTCATTTGTTTTTTTAAGATTAAGACGTCTGAATCTGAATACATGTCTGAATATCAAGATGTGTATTAAGATTAAGGCATCTGAATCTGAATACACATCTAAATATATTAAGATGTGTATTAAGATCTGAATGCTAAAAATTAAGACTGTTTGGTTTTTAATATCTGAATGCATGAAATTTATCTTTATTTGAAAAAAATCTAATATTCTATCAATAAAATATATAATTTTTTAAAATATGATAGTTGTTGGTGGTGATGGCTAACGAGTGAATGCCGACTAAAGGCGGTGGTTGGTGGTAGTTTTGGTTGATGGTGGTTCATGCTAGTAGCTAGTACTGATTGGTAGTAGTGGCAATTATAATTGATGATGGTGGTGGTGGGTCGTGAAGTTAATAACGACGGGTGGTAGTTTGTGATTGAGGAAGGTGGTGGTAGCTTATAATTATAGGCGGTGCCAGCTGTTGTTGTTAATGGTGATAGGGTGGTTGGTTGTGGTAGTTGAGGTGGATAAGTGTTGACTGTGGGTGAGAATGATGGTGGTCGGAGTGGTGGGATGGTGGATGGTGATGGTCGATAATGGTGGCGGCTATGATTGAGGATGATGGTGTCGTGGTGGTGGTTGTGGTGGTGGTGGTATGGCCGAGTATGGTGGTGGTGGTGGCATGGTGGTAGTTGATAATGGCAGGCGGTGGCGGTAGTTAATAATGAATTTGTGATAGTATCTTAATGAATTTGCTTTTGTTACAGATCTTAATCATACAAACCTATTTAGACCCATTAAATGGTTGTTAAGTTAAAAAAACAAAAACTTAATGATTAAGATCTGAATAATTAAGATTGAGATTTCAAAAACAAACGCACTTAATGTCTAAGATCTGAATGATTAAGATTCAGACCTCCATTAAGTACAAACAAATGAGGCCTAAAAGTCATAACCAACAATGAAAAGTAGAAAGAAGAAAGGGGAAAACTCGTGGTTAAATCTTCCTCCTTGCTCATAGCGTATTCTTGCCTCCTTGAGTGTCATCTTACCTAAAGTGGTGTCTCCCCTCAAAATTACGCTTTAGGATGTATTTATAGTGACTAGGGTTTGTATGGGGCGAATTTCCCTTCTCCTATTTTGAATAGGAGAAGCTGGTTTTTTCTGTTTCGGTCCCGGTCTGGCGAAGTGACCCTCACTTTGCTATCCTGGACTTTCATGATTTCTTCTGCTTCGGTCCCGGTCTGGCAAAGTGAGCCTCGCTTCGCTGTCCGGGACTTTTCTCTTCAGCTCTTTTTCACCAATTTTTCTCCCATTTGATCCTTTTTCGTGCAAGTTTGTTCCTACACATAAGAAACACATAATGAGCATAGTTTCACTTCAAAAGCGGTGTGACCTTCCACAACTCACACAAGAAATAATACATAAACACACTCAAAACTTGCACTTTTTACCATTTATCACCACCCCACACTTAAACTCTTGTTCGTCCTGGAGCAACTTAAAATTAAGCGCATAGGCAAGAAATACCTTTCAAAATATACTCAAGCATCACACCAAAGACAATGGTTTATATCAACGCTTAGAACCCAGCATATGCACTCTTCATACCTTTCCCTAAGTTTTAAAATCATGCCAAGATCATTTAAAATATTCATGTGACTCTTTCTAACATCCTCGCCTCAAAACTTGACTCTAATACATTCCACATTATGACACGCTCTTTGTACCAACTCAAAAATCAAGGTCTCTACCAATTCTTTGCAAATCATGTGCCCTCACCAACAAACCACAGAGAGAAATTAGTCCACACACTCAAATATAAGGACTCTCAGATCGGAAGAATTTGCTCACTCTCACAAAGAAACTCTTATGCCACCCAAGTTCGTACCATAGGCTTGCCCGTAGTGTAAGTCTCTACTAATTTAAGCTAGCAAAGTCTAGGATCAAGTAGGACTTTATAGGTTGTAATGTAGGCTAAGGGACGGGTAGGATATATTTGAGAAAATAGTGACTAACCCTCCTAAACACTTTAATACACTACACTTCACTTTTAAGCACCTTCTTGTCATGACCACTTCATTGTCTTGCCATAAAACCATACACATTTAGGCCCTTCTTCATTAAGCACATCAACATATAGATACTTACTAGCCTACACAAAGATATGAGAGGTGTTATTCATTTTTTTTCTTTTTTTTTCACTCTCCTTAATTTGGTATTTTCGGCTAGTACCTTTTTTTTTATACAAGTGCACCTTTTTGGCCTTCCTATGGTTTCATTCAAAAGCTCCCCAATCTCTTTATTTGCTCTTCTAGCTACTTAAGTGCTTTCGGAGGTAAAGGTTCAACAAGATTTGATTAAGAACAAAGGGGATTCGGCCTGTACTGTAGTTGCCAAAGGAAAGGTTTACAAGCTCAAAAAGGTTGACGACGGATAATATTAGCACTGGTAGGCAAATAGGCTAAATTGTCAATCAAAGAAAGCCTATATCACTTCCCAAACTTACAAAATGTATTAATTTCGCATCGACTCACACACGGAGCAAGTTCTAGACTAGCAAGAATGGCATAGAGTACACCAAAATCTCACCTCACACAATGCACATGACTCACTCAGGATGGCTCAGACCCGACTCTTAAGTTAAAGCAACTAGCACAGTCATCATAAAATTGAAGCACATGATAATTAATCACAAGAGTCAAAGATGAGCCTCGATGTCAAAAGAAAGTCACATATGTTATGAAGGCATATAATTACAAAAATCATGAAGAAAGTACTTAGTGCAAATGCTCCGACTCTAAGCCCCGATATAAAACATGTCAAAAATGCATAATACTCAAGTTCTACCCATTCCATTATTAGTTCAAAAAGAAAAAACGAAAATCTTTTTGTATTTTTCTTTGGACTTTAAACCCTGAAGAAAACTCTCTAGGAAGTCCATCGTCGGGAAAAGTCCAAATTTTTTTGAAAATTCTACCTACAAAAAGAAATTACTACTCGTTTCAAAAGTCATCTCTTGGAAAAGAACTGTGGCCATAAGAAAAACCAAGAGAGATTATTTCTACCTGGGTTTTTTTTCAACACACATAAAATAGCACAACTAAAATAGCATAGGTATACCCAAATAGTCACTTCACCCCACACTTAAAATTGTATATTGTCCCCAATGCACACCCATAAATACAAGAGGGTAAAAAAACTCCCTGGTTGGCCAAAGGCCGAAGCATTAGTAGCTCATGAGGTACTCAGACTTCTCCCAGACTTGGTTCTTTGTGCTGGCACCCCACACTTAGTTCTAACCATCTCACTTGATTTTGCTTCCTTCTAATAGCCTTGCTTCCCATGCTCCTAGAGAAATAAAAAAATAACACTACAATAATAATACAATAATAAAAAAATAAAAAAAATAACATAAAACAGTAAAGCTGGGTTGCCTCCCAACAGTAAAGCACGGTATCAGTTGTGCATCGACGGCTTGTGATTCCCTAGATGAGGTGCGAGATATGATTTCTGTGTGTTGATGTTGGGCCAGTTTGGAGGACTTGAGGCCGAGTTGTGATTATAACTTGAGCACTGAGGTGTTGATTGTGTGAGCACGTGCTTTTGGATTTATACGTTCAATAGTGTCCCTATTAGTGGAAGTGATGGTTGGATGGCTACGTGATGAGTATGATGTGACTGCGAGATGTGTTCATATGATTTGAATGTGACGAGAAGGGTCTGCTAGAGGTGTAGAAAGAACTATTTGGTGCTTGATTTCCATCTTAAATTGGTGTATAGCCCCCGAGTTATGGGTGTGTTGAAGGATCTTTTCATGTTGTTTAGTTGGGGAGTGAAGTAGATGTCATGTCGTGATATGAGTTCAGACTCAGGAAGATTAAGTGATTGCATAAT